CGGTTTAAGGCAGAGGTGGGGAATGTGTGGTTCTCCAGATGTCACAGGACTACAAATCCCATCATTTGTCACCATTTGAAGAGCTACATATTCCTTATTCTGCCCTTGTGCTACATGGGAATCAGCACACCGAGTCAAATCATTGTTGCCTACTCTAACTAGCAGCTGTTTTTGAGATGCTTCCTGAGAATGCCATCACAGATACTTTAACCAGAGATGACACAGATGGGACCTGAAATCTTCCCCATCCAAAGCATATCTCCTGACAGTATACTCTTCCAGCTCTCTCAGAAGTAAACACAAGAAGCTGCCTTACAATGATACACAGAAGGTACATTTGTGTACAGGGTCCTCAGTGGTGGCTTCCCCATTACTTCCGGCCGGCCGTTTTTTACAGCCAGGTAAGATACTTTCACAATACAAACGGATGCCTGAACTTTCTGCATGCAAAGCGTGCGCTCTCCCGCTAACATATGTGAAGGCACTACGACATCTCCCCAACACTTCCATCACCAAAGTAAAAACAGTGATTTTTACAACCGTGACGTCACTCACCCCGTTAGTACAAACCAATTGTACACTATGTTTGACCATAATAACAAACATATTTTTATTACTGCTCGTCCCAGTCATTTTAATCCAACAAGCAAACCGGCTGCCAGTGACGTCACCAAAATTATATGACGCCTTCTGAAGTCAACTATTTTTTTCCCTCGCTAGCTCTAAGTGAACGAGGAGTCAACGCCTCCCCCCGCCTCCCCCAAAGACTCATTGGCCCACTTAGGGTTCCTCCTGGCTCCTATTGGCTGCCTCGCCCACCAATCACCGGGAAGCGCCAAGTGCCCGCCCATCAGGGCCTGGGCCCTTTCCGACAAGCCCCGTTCGGTGTGGCCGCTCTGGCGGGGCCCACAGCTTGATGGAAAAAGCACCATTAGCCCACCTCACCTTTCCCGACTGTCTCGGGAGAGGCAAAGGGGAACCACGGTGTCCGCCATTTTGCAAAGGAGAAGGGAAGGAAAGTGGACTTGGACCCACCTGGACCGTCCCGGCCCCGCGAGGCCGCGTCCCCTCAGGGGGAGGGGCGGGGACGGAGTCGCGATTATCGTACCCTCTCTCGATTTTGGCGGGAATCGCGCTGAGGCGGGGAGAGTGGGTGGTTGTTGTTGTTGTTGCCGGGTTTCCTGGTCGCCACGACTACGGTGGCTATGGCGCCCTCCGTGTTCCCTCACCGGGGCAACTGTTGCTACCCACCTCCGTGCAGGGAGGGGGGAAATAGGCGGTGCCCGATGCTGATTGGACAATGTCCAACACCCATTGGATTATTTTACTGTCAGTCATGTGTCAGCACTTCCTTTTACCGTTGGTTCTAAGCCGCGCCTCTTACCGGATGCTTCGTCTTTCTATTGGCCAATCAAACATTCCGATGTATAGATTTGATCGGAGGGCTGTCTATCTGACGGAAGGGCGAGCTGTAGAGCCAGCGGGAACGGACTGAGAGTTGGCGCTTTACCACTGGGTAGAGTTCGCGTCTGTAAAGTGTAGCGAATGTTGAAAGTCACGCCTTAGGGTTGCACGTGGTGGCATGCCGGGAAATGTAGTTCCTAGACAGCCACCAAGCGTCCTTCTGCTCAAAGCTGCTAGGGGGAGTATACGCTCGTTAGCCCGTGTCTGCTTGAAGAACTGTGTTGGATCAGGCTGAAGAGCTACTGATGGAAAAAAACACCACTAGCCCACAAGTGGTCTCCACCCCAACACATAAGAGAAGCCCACAGGCAGAACATAAAGGTAGTAGCATTACCTGACAGGAAGGCAAGAGTGTTGTTTTAATTCCCCAGAAAATAGCTCATATTTTCATGTGTGCTGCCTTTGCTGGTGGAGGTACCAAACAGGGATTAACTGGGGAAGATGGATAAGGTTTTTTATCCTTTTTTAAAAATACTATTATTATTGTTGTTGTTGTTGTTGTTGTTGTTTAGTCGTTTAGTCATGTCCGACTCTTCGTGACCCCATGGACCAGAGCACGCCAGGCCCTCCTGTCTTCCACTGCCTTCTGGAGTTGGGTCAAATTCATGTTGGTAGCTTCCGTGACACTGTCCAATCATCTCGTCCTCTGTCATCCCCTTCTCCTCTTGCCTTCACACTTTCCCAACATCAGAGTCTTTTCCAGAGAGTCTTTTCTTCTCATGACATGACCAAAGTATGAGAGCCTCAGATTCAGGATCTGTCCTTCCAGTGAGCACTCAAGGTTGATTTCCTTCAAAATGGATAGTTTTTTTCTCCTTGCAGTCCAGGGGACTCCAGAGCCTCCTCCAGCACCACAATTCAAAAGCAGCAATTCTTCAGTAGTCAACCTTCTTTATGGTCCAGCTCTCACTTCCATACATCGCTGCTGGAAAAACCATAGCTTCGACTATGCAGACCTTTGTCGGCAAGGTGATGTCTCTGCTTTTTAAGATGCTGTCTAGGTTTGTCAT